TGCTTTGCTTGGTTGGTTGCTTGCTTGCTTTGTTGCTTGCTGGCTTTGTTGGCTGCTTGCTTTCTTGCTCGCTTGGCTGGCTGCTGCTTAGTTGGTTGCCTTGGTTGCTTGTTTGCTCACTTGCTTGCTTGATTCTTTGGTTGCTTGGTTTCTTGCTTGCTTGCTTGGCTGGCTGCTGCTTGCTCGGCTGGCTGCTGCTTGCTAGCTGCTGCTTTCTTGGTTGCTTGCTTGGTTGCTGGCTTGCTTAGTTGCTTGGTTGTTTGTTTGGATTGCTCGGCTGGCTGCTGCTTGCTTGGTTGCTCGGTTGGTTGCTTGCTTGCTTAGTTGCTTGCTTGTTTGGTTGCTTGCTTGCTGGCTTGCTTACTCGGCCGGCTGCTGCTTGCTTGTTTGGCTGCTTGTTTGTTTGGTAGCTTTTTTGTTTGGTTGATTGCTTGGCTGCTTGCTTGCTTGCTTCTTGCTTGGCTGGCTGCTTGCTTGCTCGGCTGGCTACCGCTTTCTCGGCTGACTGCTGCTTGCTGCTTGCTCGGCTGGCTGCTGCTTGCTTGGATGGTTGGTTGCTTGCTTCCTTCTTTGCTTGTTTGCTTGCTTGCTTGATTGCTTGCTTGCTTGGTTGCTCGGTTTTCCGAATAGTTGGTGAGATAGTTGGTTAGTTGGTGTTCTTGCTTAATTGCTTTTCTGCATGGGCACTGATTTGCGCTTTGCTGGGTTTGTGTGCTGGCGCGCTTGCTTCCCATTGTTGGCTAGTGATTGCTATTGCTTGCGACTGCTTGCTTGCCTAGAGGCCTGCTTGCTCAGTTTTCTTCCCTGGTGAGCTTGGCAGGTCACCATCGAGCCCCTCCGGGTGTCTCAGTTCCAGCTGCTTGGCGCGAAGATGCCATGTTCTGGGCCCACTGCCCACTGCCCTCATGTGTGACAGAAAGAGGCGAAGGATATTCAGTATAGCTATCTTAGTCTTGATTGGCTTTGATGTGATGAATGTGAGTGAAAGGGAAGAGGGGGTTGGCACCCAACAAGTCTCATATCACCCAGGGTGGCTTGGGAGGTGTTGCGGGCTTGCATGAGAAATCTCTCATCCAAACCGTTTCTCGAATGCATTGCATGGCCGGGCGTTGGCAACCTTGCAGTCTGAGCCCAGATGTCCTCATTCAAGCAAATTTGGCAGGATGGAAGCAACATGGAAGCGGGTCCCGGCATGCACCAAAGACCAAACATGTCTGTAGCATCCTGTAGAACTGATTTGTTGGAACCCAGCTAGGGTGAGCCAGCCATCATCTACCACCCAAGCCTGCTGATTGCTTGACCTGGCAGTTTGGGCATTTGAGCAGATGCAGGCTCAAGAAGGTGGACGCTGGTTTGTACTTCTACCAAGCTACGAGCTACATCGTAGAAGGCCATTCCCAGCCAGGCGAAGGGTGGGTTGGGAAGTGGGGGTTGAAATTCATAGGTTTCTTTGACAATCCATGGGCTCCGTCGATCCAGGGTTCTGGTTCTAATCCTTGGAAAGTTCCATGGGTTCAAAAGGACGCAAAGAGGCAATACCCACGAATCGCCAGTTCGGGAGATGACATTCGGTACATTTGCCAACCAGCATATTGTTAAGTTTGGGCTTCGCGCACACATGTGACGGGGGCCCATTTGAACATCGGGGGTGGGAGACATGAATCCCTTGGCTTGAGATCTCGGCGTTGAAGGTTCTTCTTTTCACACCAAGAAAAAGTGGTGCTCTCTCTCTCTGTCTTTCTCTCTTTCTTTCTCTCGCTATCCCTGTTTTTGCCAGGGTCCTTTGTTCGAAGTGTGTTTTCCTTCTTTTTCGGGCTACATCTTGAGGGGCAAATGTTTCGCCGTCCGCGCGCCAGGCTCGCTGGCGATCTGCGAAAATGCGGACTTCCCCGAGGCTCTCCATGAATCCGGCCCGCAAGGTCCCCGCAGCCTTCGGGACTCCACGGCTTGCCGCGACGTGGCTCAAAGCCAACCGTTTTGGCGGTTTTGGCCGCTGCCTTTTTTGATATCACTGGTTCGCAATGTGAGGTTTCCTCTTGCTTTTCCCTCAAAACCGCCAAATATATTTCTCTGGTTGGCGATGTGCCGCCAGGTGGCTTTCCTCTTGGCTTCCCTGAGCCCAAACGACACACCCATGTTTTGCTTTCTGCCGTCTCGCTTCCCAAAGGCTATGCCGCCGCCCTGGGGATGCTTGGCTTGGTTGGCTCGACAGGGGCGAAGGTCGGAATACCAGCCGGCCCCCAGTATCGAAGAATGGGAAACATGCGCTTCCCCCCCCAAAAAAAAGAAAATAAAAAAGGTGTCTAAAAGGGTCCCAAAGCTGGTTGGCAAACCTTTTCAGTTTTTGCAGGTCGTCACAGGCTGGCAACACATCCACCGCCAGAAGCTGAACGGGGAAAAAGTACACCTGAATGTGGCGTTTGAGGCAAGCCGCCTGTGCCACACACACACACTTTCCAAGGGTTTCTTCGGGGTTCTTGCATGTGTTTTTCAAAAGGTG